AGTGCTATAAAACAACAAAAAAAAACCCTGTTTGTGATGGAGAACTGAACACATTCACAAAGCTTTCTAGAGTTTGAGGGTGGAGTTAAACAGTAGTCGGAGAAGAGAATTTTCAACTGCAGTGTAAAATCAATGGGTTTTCATCCATCCATCTGCATCAGTGCCTTTAATTTTGGAAAGGCTCTTGGATCTTTAATACTTCTTTTATCTTCACCTTTATTCCTGTGATTATTCTGACATTTATTGTTCTCATTTAGTTCTTATTTCTATTTCAAATGTTATCTCCATAATCAAGTGCCTGTGGTGGAGGACAGGATGGACGCGGGGGGCGGGGGGGGGCACAAAAAAACCCTCAACAAACCAACCCCAAACAAAACAAAAAAACAACTACCACACCACCACCATAATGAAATATATCGTAATCTGTTGTTGTCACCCAAAGGTACAAACAGTGCTCGAAGAATTACTTTGGTTAAATGGATACTCTTTTGCCGGTCTGTTGCCCACAAACCATGAGAATCTTTACTAAAAAAGAAATAACTGACTGAATTAAGAATTTCTGAGCCTTAAAGCTAGTCCCTGGCTGCTTTTAGTGCATATCAACTTCCACATATCTGTATCTTTCCATGAAGCAATTTTTTTATTCTAACTTAAATTTTTTTATTCTAACTTCTTTGCTTAGCAAAGAAGTCAGCTGGCTAACGAATAAGCTGTGTATGTTGTAGGGAGTTATGAAAGATGATAAACTGGCCATCTGATCTGTCAATCTTAAGCACAAGTAACCCGGCCTTTTGTGACAGTTCATAACATACTGGCCACACTTCTTGTTTCCCATGTTGTAGGTTTATCTGCAGGCATCTCTGCAGCCCCATTATTACTTGAGTGGCTGAGTAGCTCCCTTGCAAATTAGCTGACAGATTAGATCTACTGAAGTCTCTCTGTTTCGGTATGTGTTGGTGTATGATTGAGCACACACAAAACACTTGATGGGCATGCACTGCGCTGCACACAGTATTCCTGAAACATGTTCACAGAAGTGAGTGAGGAGTTGACTGACCAAGCAATTTCTTCAATTATTTCAAAGAAACCAGCTCGTTACCGAAGAGCTATAAGTTATGACAGTAAGGAATACTACATGCGCCTGGCTTCTGGAAACCCTGCAGTTTTTCAGGATGCTATAGAAGAGAATACAGTGGGTGAAACAACTCAGCAGGAGCCAGAACACGGGGAGGACACAATTGCAAGAGTCAAAGGTTAGATCATTTGTTCTGTCCTGAGCTGTTTTCTTTAAATTTATCTGCCTTTATATCTTCTCATGGATTTGCTTTAAGATAAGCATAAGGACCCTGTAGGACTCTTGTTTTTCTGTCTTAGTATTAGGTCAGTAATTTCAAAGTTCAATAGGTTTTGCAAAGTTAATTTTTTATGTGTGAGGCTTTTATTTATCTGTCTCTGTTCTTTTCCAGGCCTGGTGAAGCCTCCCCTGAAACGATCTCGCTCTGCTCCTGACGGAGGAGATGATGAGAACCAGGACCAGTCACAGGATCAAATTGTTGAGGGGAGTTCAATTGATGAAGAGGAGAAGACTGACAATACAACTTTGCTTCGACTTCTTGAAGAAGGAGAGAAGGTACTGTGTGCTTCAAACACACTAAGCACTTACTGTATTGGAATACATTGTTGACATTACATGTCACGAGCAGGAATAAATGTCCTAAGTACCTTCCCTGATCTACAGCTGAATTTGCTTAATATTTCATCAGCTTCTTCCTTGAAACCAAACGTGGGCTTGAGATGAAAACCCTGTACTGGAAACATTCTTTTTCTTTCCTTCTGCCTGCTAGGGAAAAAAGAACCTGTCCTGAAATGAAAGCTATGAGCTATCACATGCTTGGATTACTATCCTGTCTGCTTAATAAGTCCAGACAGAAAATACGCATTGAAAATATAAATACTGAACTTGACAGAATGAAAACACTTGATAACTAGTATTTTATCCCCAAGAACAGTGTTGAATGATCATGCTGCATATTTGGTATTTCAGTCTTTGTGGGTCTGAAGTATACCGGTAAATACATTTGTGATCATAGTCAAGTGGGCTACAGGTTCTAAAATATGCTCAAGAAGCAGATTGTAAAGTGAATAAGTTAGTAAATATATAAAACTGTATCATACAGAGGAGGCTTTATTTAATTCCTTTCCCAATTGCTAATGGCAGGTGTTAGGTATATCTCTGGTTAAGGGGGAAAATAGCAGAATTTTTGCTGTATCTGCAAGTCATAAAGCAGTGCCTGGGGCTTGTTCTAACAAAGCAACAGTCGGAGCCTGAGCTCATTAATCTGCTTTTGCTAAGTGTCTGCTTTTCATTACAGATTCAGCATATGTACCGCTGCGCTCGGGTTCAGGGCCTTGACACCAGTGAAGGGCTGCTTCTCTTTGGGAAAGAGCACTTCTATGTCATTGATGGATTTACCATGACAGCCACTAGGGAAATACGAGATATTGAGACACTGCCTCCAAAGTGAGTAGATTAATAGAGTTTCCTCAATCTTTAATAGCTGAACAAGAAGTATAAAATGAGATTTTTGAGGCGTCAACTCCAAAATAACGTCGGATTCAGAAAGACCTCAGGCGCAGTGTCCTCTGTGCTCGCAAATTGCTCAGTGTAGTATGGCGTATTGTGAAAATCGGCTCTTTGTATAAGTGAACTCTCATATGAATTAAGTGAATAATTCTTTTAATTTATCTTCTTTTTAATCACTTCTTTCTTGCCTGTTTATGCTCATTTACAGGATGCATGAACCAATCATACCTAGGGGAGCAAGGCAAGGTCCAAGTCAACTCAAAAGAACATGCAGCATTTTTGCTTATGAAGATATCAAGGAAGTACATAAAAGGAGATACCTTTTGCAGGTAACTTGGACACCGTATTTGGATTGAGGAGCCAAATTTGGTATTTTTTGACAATGTTATTTTAAAAAGTAAAATAAATACATAACTGATCAGTATTTGGAAAGTGAAGCTATTCACTGTGTTGAAATTAAAGTGGTTAAGTTGCGCATCCTTGTTTGAACATTTGGCTTACCATGGTTTAATTTATTGGGTGTATTAGTGAATTTTAGTCTCCCAAAACTAAACCATCTGGTCACACTAAGCAAAGTCTGCTTCACCATAATTTGGTGGCAGATGTAGTACGGTATAACTAAACTGGTCTGCATCTGACCTTCGGAGGTGACAAGTGAATGTATCAGTGTTGACATGGGTTTGTCTTCTTTGTTTTCAGCCAATTGCAATTGAAGTTTTCTCTGGAGATGGACGGAACTATCTTCTAGCTTTCCAAAAAGGGGTTAGAAACAAAGTTTATCAAAGGTATTGTAAAATAAGTCGGAACGTTTAATCTGAATATTTGCAAATATCTGTGTTGAGCCATATTTGAGCCTACAGCGACCTCACAACCCAAAGCAGATTGCAAGTGATGGGTGTTAGAGAGTGGATAACCCGATAGCAACTTAGTGCTGCAGGAAAGAGCCACTAGGCAGCGCTAACGCCTGCATGCAAAACTTGCTGTATGCGTTTAGTGAGAAAAGGGTCATTCCAATTTTGTTGAAGAAATTACGTAGCTGCTCAAAATGAAGTCTGTAACTGTATTAAATGCACTCTGTTTCTAAGGAGAAGACGCCTGCATGCAAAACTTGCTGTATGAGTTTAGTGAGAAAAGGGTCATTCCAATTTTGTTGAAGAAATTACGTAGCTGCTCAAAATGAAGTCTGTAACTGTATTAAATGCACTCTGTTTCTAAGGAGAAGACGAACAGAGGACAGAAACACTAATCTTAATCTCCTTTTAACTGCTGATACAGGTTTTTGGCTGTGGTGCCATCTCTAACCGACAGTTCAGAGTCGGTGTCTGGGCAGAGACCAAACACCAGTGTAGAGCAAGGGTAAGTGATTCTGTTCCTCACAAGCTCTGTAGCTCATCAGTTTCAAATAAATGATGCTTGCATTAAAGTCAGGATTCACTGGAGAGTACTGCAACCTCAATTTAAAATTGGGCATTAACAAAATAAATAACTAGTGATTTTGTGCTCCAGTTATTTTAAATGTACTAATAACATTGGCAGCGTTGGTATATCTTTTTACTAATTAATATATGCTATCAGGATTAACGTTATTGGTATACAGATATCTTCCAAAAGGAATTGGAGTGCCAGAGCCATTAGATTTGTCAAAGTCATTAAAGATACTTTCCTCATCAGCAGCCTGTTAGATACATTTGTACTTGCACTGAATTGCATAATTAATGTTCATTATTTTAACAGTCTGTGTTCAGAAATAAAAAAGGCACTGCTAAAGCAAAAAGGAATAAAGGTCCGTTTTTCTAATTGTTAAAATTTGCAAGTTTTAATCTTAAAACTTTGGATTGTCTTGTGAAGATGTAACCCAGATCTTACTGCTAAATCAGAAAATGCACTTCCTTCTTCCCATTAGGTCTGGCTTGCTTAGCACTTTAGTGGGAGAGAAGTCTGTTACTCAAAGATGGGAGGTAAGTATGAAATTATTTTTTTTTATTAAACGCCACATTTTGTAGTGATACATAATTAATCAGTGCACATAAGCTGCATCCTCTTATTCAAACAGGTGGAATATACTGCTATAGAAAGCGTAATCTCATCATTTTAGTTTGTAGTATTTCATGATACCATCATCAAATAGGAAATGGTTCTACCGCTGAAAATGCAAGGGGAGAGGGACTGTGGTAAAAGTAGAGTAAGCATTGTAATATTGAAGTGAGTTTCATACATTTGGGGAGGACTGAACACTTTGGCAGCCTGGCAGCATAGACATTTGATTGTTGTAAAGTGAACGCTTTACAGTGCTGTTATCTGTCTTCCTTAAGAGAGGAGAAATCAGTAACTTCCAGTACCTGATGCACTTAAACACTCTGGCGGGCAGATCCTATAATGATCTCATGCAGTACCCTGTCTTTCCCTGGATCCTCGCAGACTATGATTCAGAGGTAAATACAATACCTTGTCAGCAAACTTTTTTTTTTTTTTTAAATGTTGGAGGTTTTGCAAATATTACAGCTGGCTCATATTGCTTTGGTAAAACCGAGGCTTATCTTTATCGCCAGTTGTTTGATTTCATCTATTTTGTAATGTTCCTCCCACTTATCAGAGGGTAGGATGTTGGAGATTCTTGGCTGTCTCATGCAAGCAGGTCCTTGCCTGCACCGATTTTACAGCTGTAATTGGACTGTGCAGATGAGGGCCAGAATACATAGCTTGTTCTAAGGCAGTTACCTCTCTATGTTGCAGCAGTTCCTGTGAGTCTTTGCATTAGCTTTCTACTGAATATCTTGAAGGACGTTATGCTCACAGAGAAAGCATGCACGTCCAGAAGACTGTGGTAGAGACTACTATGAAATCTGGCTCCATGGTGAAGAAATTGCTTTTGAAAAAGATGAAACAGCCTATTAATGCTTTTGTGGGCAGCCATTGCTACCAGCCAGACCATAATGTAACATATTGTTAGGATGTATGTCAAGTATTCACGAACAAAATTAAAGGGTATTGGGGAACAGGATGAGGGGAGCAGGGCAAATATCTGGAGCCCAGATGTGACTTAAAATAAAAAACACTGACTCTCTTAGATCAGACTGAAGGACTGTTGTAAGCATATCCAACATTGCACATGGTGTGGATGCAGAAAACAAAGATGACAACCTTGGGAAGCATTTGGTGTTAAATACGGTAATCGGCAGTGTTGAAAGGGTTTTTTTGTGTTTGTTTGGGTTTTTTTATATATAAAATCGGTGTCTGTTTTATTTTTAAAGGAACTGGATCTTACAAATCCCAAGACGTTCAGAAACCTGGCCAAGCCCATGGGAGCTCAAACAGAAGACAGGTTAGCCCAGTACAAGAAGCGATACAAAGATTGGGAAGATCCCAATGGTAAGTAATGATACATCTTGCAGGAAGAGCAGAGGAACGTGTGCCTGTCACAGGATGGACAGGAGGGAGTTATGGATTTTTATATTACGGGTCAAGAGGTCTGGATGTGGATATGTACCACTCCACTGTGGTTTTTAGTAACTCTCCAACAAATACTAAATTACAGCAAAGGGGCGTTGGTTTTCTTGCTGTGTTGTTTATTTCAAATCTGAATGGCAGCTTTTAAATCCAAATGACAGCTTTTGTTTTTATGTAAAAACAAAGAAAACAGTTGCACATTCACCACAGTTTAACATTGCCTAAAGGCTAGAACGCACAGGCACGTGAAGCACACAACCAGCTGTCTTGACTAATACAGTTTGAGTGCTGCTGCAAGAAAATAAGTTACACAAAGGAATGGGAATACTTCTGCATTAGCGGTACTGTAGCTTTTTCATTTCTTGTCTTAATGCACATTTTTTTGCTAAGGAAACAGCATTTTCTTAGCTAAAAAAAAATAATCAGAATGAGATGCAATTTAATTACATATTCTTGATTTTAGAGCTTCCTTATATATTGAAAGTAAAACTTTTTGGCAAGGCATCAAGTGACGCACATGATACATTTCTTCTTTTGTGCTTTTATTGAAGACACAAGCCTGTTTAACTACTGCAGTGCTGTTCTGTGTCAAACAACAGTAGGTGGCAAAGATGTTCATTTCTAGAAATGAATGTCATTTCTAGAAATGAATCAGTATGTTCTAAGTGTATTTATGCAGACTTTTTGCCAGGAAATTAAGAAAGTAAAAGCTGTACAAAATCTGTAGCCAACAATTCTGAGACGTATTAGTGCCCAAGCCTTTAATTCCACAGTAACCAATAAGACTAAAACTAAAAAAAAGAAAAAAAAAAAAGTTTCTTCAGCAGAAATCACCATTGCACTGCAACGTTTCAATTAGTTAAAAAAAGACTAACCATTCAGTACTTCTCTGCAGAAGGCAGTTGAATTAGGGCTACTGGACTGCAGCCAAAACTCGTGGTGGTCGTGACAAAACATAAAGCTTTCAGATTCTTGAGAATGATAGTTACAAATTCCAGTTTTAAATGTGTCCAAGGCAACAGAGTAATTAAAATGCAGCACTTAATTAATTTTTTTTTTCAGTCAGTACTGATTTTGTCACCTAACTGCTTTATTTGTTCTGTTTATGATTTTTGAACTTCTGCAGGGGAAACTCCAGCTTATCACTATGGGACACACTATTCATCAGCCATGATAGTGGCTTCCTATCTTGTCCGGATGGAGCCTTTTACTCAGATTTTCTTACGGTTACAGGTAAAAATCACATCACCTCATTTTGTGTGTATTTCCTTCTGTACTTTTGAGACCTAAGTGAAAAATATGATCAATCAGCTTTGTTTTCATCAAATATGGTAGAAGAAATATTTTTAGCAGAGTTGTTATTGCCTGGAATGATGGGGTTTTTGTGAAAGTTTTAATGGAATTCACATTTTTTTTCTTGTAGTTTGAACATTTTTCTAAATATATGCAGAACAAAATATCAGCAGACAAAAACGAAAGCAACTTTTATTGTGAAAAATACTTTGCTCATCATGCTTTATTTGCCTATTGTTGAAAGAATCATATGCCAGTCATTTAGTTCTGTGCTGGAGGTGTTGAAAGATTGTTGTTTTAAACCAATATGTCTATCCAAAGAGCCATTTTAGTTCTGAGTATTAAAATAAACAAACATTAGCAAAGCCTGGAATTGTTTGCCAGTTTGGTGGTTAACGGGGTTTGTAACGTTGTATGTCAAATATTTTCCTAGACAAAAGCCATCGGACAAAAAGATTTATGTTTCTCTGAAATAGGACTAGATGACTCTCTTCTTAGACTACATGACTCTCTTAAAATTCTGTATATCTGTATCTCAGTGCTTTGTTTACTATTATTTTGTACCAAAAATTAATGCAGCTGTTTTAAATCTGTTGTGTTAGAGGAAGAAACGTGCCATGTTCTATAGTGTCTTTATTAGGCAGAGGGTGTTCTGATTTGCCTTCTTGGCAAAATCTGCTGTGTTGAGAGATACTCTGATGCTGATAAGCTCTCAATCTGTCCCACAGGGCGGTCACTTTGACCTGGCAGACCGAATGTTTCACAGCGTACGGGAGGCTTGGTATTCAGCGTCAAAGCACAACATGGCAGACGTGAAGGAGCTCATCCCAGAGTTCTTCTACCTCCCTGAGTTCCTACTCAATTCCAACAATTTTGACCTAGGTAGGGAGAAGATAGCATTGCTACAGGTGTGAGAGCAATGCCAGACAGTCCGATGTGAGAAAGGTGTCTTGTAATACAGGCAGAAAAAGATCTGGTTAATGGCATGAGAAAAAGATAGATGAGTTGCATGTTCTGAAATGAAAGCATAAGCAGGACTACTTCTGGTATTTCCTTATACTACATGTTTATTCAGTATTATATTTGAAAGTCTGAATGATTCGGAACTCATGGTTTCATCAGGAAGAGTGTAGCAGGAATTCTTATTTCCTCTGTGATACCTCAGATTTACTTTTGCAGATTTATCAGACTTAAGATATTTTTTCAAGCATTGAGTGTTCATTTTAAGCAGTTAATGCAAAGTATGTTCTGAGAATTGCTGAACAAGATACTGAAATACCCAAAAAGGACTTCTGTTTGTAGTGCTGTGTTTTAGTGGATTTTTGTTTTTTTACCAGTTCACAACGCACAGATAATCATGTTTGACTTGGAGTTTCTCTGGCTTACATTTTCCTCCATGTAATTTGCTACTCTATAATGATGTTCACCATCTTTTCTGCAGGAAGGGATTTAGTTTCTTCAAAATACACTCAGTTGACATGCCATTGCTATATACATACTAAATAGATGTCAAATACAGGAAATGATGTACTCTTTTAAATTGAGGCTACCACAATTACTCCAGTTTTCTTCATAGAATAAGAGCAAAGAAGTTGAAAAGAGATAAGAAAATGAACCTTGCTGTGCTGATTCCTCTGAGTGCAAAATGGACTGCTGCTGTGGTAGCGGTTCCCGGTAGCACGGTTGGCTGCTTAGGTGCGAGCTAAACTGACAGAACAAGATTCTGGTTGTACAATGATTGCAGAAGGCTATTTTACTGGCTGTTGTTTTCGTTAACTTTCATGCACTGCAGTGGGTCTTTCCCATGACAGGGAGAGAAAAGCAGAAATTTACTTAAATAGAAAAATAAAGACAAAATAATCATGTTCCAAGAACGCTTGATGGGGAAGCAGAGATTCAGACTGTGCATTATGAAGTTGTGAGGACTGAGGTGAAATAATCTAATCAACGCCTCTAGCTAGAAGGGTGATGCTTGTTTTGAAGAGCGTATGCTGAAACACTATCATCATCGTCAGAAGCCTTAGTAAGGAATATTCTCCTTCTGCAAACAGTCTTACATGAAAAACTGAGGCAGAATTTTTCGTGTTTTATTGCCTGGCATTTAAAAAATGACGTAGTATTTTAGAGAAAAGACTGAAATGGATTGCTTTATAAAGCAAAGGTGTTAGAATTTTATCTTTTTTAATAATTTTTTTCACCATTTCTGTTGCAGTGTAGTTTCAGTGCTTCTCTCCAATTTTTTTTTCTCTTTTTTTAATAGGGTGCAAACAAAATGGCACTAAACTTGGCGATGTAATACTCCCCCCATGGGCAAAAGGAGATCCTCGTGAATTTATCAGAGTTCATCGGGAGGTAATTTGCATTTAAGAATAATAAATAGAAAGTGTCAGGTGGGACTTTCCACTGCATATTAATCTAAGCTCGATTCATGCAGTCACAGTTCCTAGCCAGTCCATGAGTTCTGGGTTGATGGCCAATTGTTGCAAAGATCTCTAGAACCAGTGTTTCCTCCCCGTTCCTTTTTGGCTAAGGAGTATGCTGAGGCAACACTTGCTTCAACGAAAAAAATGGATGAAAACGTAACAAGAATATGTCAAAATATATTCTGCATTTTTTTTTGTGGCAGGTGCAGTATACTCAACTGATGACCGATACGTCTAGTTTTAATGTGTGCCCTTTGAATTTCAGGCTCTGGAATGTGACTTTGTGAGTGCACACCTGCATGAGTGGATTGACTTGATCTTTGGCTATAAACAGCAAGGTCCTGCTGCAGTAGAAGCTGTAAATGTCTTTCACCATCTCTTCTATGAGGGACAAGTGGACATATATAACATCAATGATCCTTTAAAAGAGACAGCTACCATAGGATTCATTAATAACTTTGGACAGATACCAAAGCAGGTATACCCTTCGTAGAATTCTTATTTGCCAGATGACACTCAAATTGAAATGTATTGATATAGAATGGGAAAGTATTTTAGGAGTGCAACTTCCTGGGAGTATTTTTCCATAAATATTCTTCCAGTGATGTGAAATTGTTTACATTTCCATCATAAGTGAAATGAAGATCAACTTTGGTCTTTCCTTGTGAGATTAGAAATATCTTTTTTTTTCCTCCCTTTGTACCCTTAAAATAAGTGAAATGAATTATAGTTCAACTCTAAAAATCAGCATCAAAAAATAAGTATATTCCCGCTGCAAAGTCAGAGGGGAACAGTGAAAGTGCAACTTCAAAGTAATGCCTAGTGTTACGGTATTTTAAGTTATCCTGTAATTAAATAATTTAGATAATAACTTATGCTTCCTTTGTTTTACACCAGTCTCTTGGTATTCTGCAGGGCTTGGCCAACTCTTATTTGAAGAATCTGTTGAAAAAAAAACCCTCAAAATTTAAATTAAGAAGATAGACTCTTGTAGGACAGCTATAGTTAAGGAGCTATATGGACACATTTTTGGTGCAGCTTTAAAGTTTGTATTCTCTTTCAGAGATTGCATTAAATTATTAAATCTAAAGTTTTACTATGGGGTTTTAGGTTTTGGGGGGGTAAAGGGTTTCTTTCTTCCTGTCTTTTTTTTTTTTTAAATTAGGCATTTCTTTAGGGGTTGTTTTGTTTTTTTTTTTTGCTGCCCAGTGAAACTTTGAAATGTCATCAGTGAATGTTTCCAATCCTAGATCTGGTAGAAACCACAGATACCTTCAGCAGTTCACTGGGAACCCAACCCACTTGTTGGGAACTGTAGACTACAGCAGCACGTAATGTTTCAGGACAGCCACAGGATATTTCCTGTGGGGACCCACTAACAGCTGTCTGTCTCTTATTGCCTAGAAAGAAGGCTAAGAACTACTCATCTGTCCTCCGTGGCTGCTTTTCTACTTTTCCTTCCTTGCTCTCTCTCAATAATCTAGATATGGAGTGGCTGTGAGGTTTTCTCCTCGTAAGTAATAATCAGTCACTGGGTTGTGATGATAATCAGATATGGCCCAGCTGAGAGCAGGGCGATGGAAGAGCATTGCAGCTGAGTCTGAAGGTCTGCCTGAATCTTCAAATGCCTGTTAGGTACAAGCCTATGATGACATCTACCAGAAATTGCATGACATTTTGCTAGAGGACATAGGCAGACTGCAATAAACTCAGGGAAACTCAAAACTCCTTCCTTAGGTCCTTTCGGGTGGTGAGTGCTCTGGGACTACATTATTGTGTTATGGTTTGAGAAAACCCACAACAGTTTATTGTCATTTAGACAGTTATTCATCACCCAGTGACCCTTCCCCACCCAGGAAGGGTAATCAGGGAAAAAGCAAGGAAACCCAGGGGTTGAAATATAAACAGATTTAATAGAATAAGACTAGGTAATTAACATTAATAACACTAAAGAACCAATATTGATCCCAATACCAGTATAAAATATACAAGGATTATACTCGGCCAATTCTATCAGTAGGAAGCTGTGCGCTCCCGGCAGAGGACAGCAAATGCTGGACACTGCGAGTGCTACAGCTTTGGGAGCAAGGGAAGGCCTCAGGGGTCCGGCACTGGAGCAAGAAGTTCTCTGGATCGCACAGATCAAGGGGGAGAGAGCACTTAATAACAAACTTCCTAATTTATATTGAATGTGACATTCATGGTATGAAATAATCCTGTTGGCTTGGGTCAAGTGCCGGGTCTCGTTCCTCCTCACTGCTGCACCTGGCAAGCTCGAAAAACACCAAGACATAAGACATTGAAACCTATATACCGTGGCTGGCTATAAAGTAAATATTTTCACAAATTCAGACACAGAGTCTTCTGAAAGTGCAGTTTTCCCAAGCATTAGTCTTATGTCGCTCAAACCAGGACATTATGTAATTGTAGAGTTTTGCCTGTGACCTTCTCTGACTTTCCACAAGGGATCTAGGGCAGGCTATCTCAGTGATGTGGCTGCTGTAAACATTTTCACTCCTTTGCTGCATGCAGATGTAACATGAGGACTACATCTTCTTTATCCCATCTCTTCCACCAGTAATGCCCCCGGTAGTTCTGTTCCCCGTTTTAAAAAGTTGTGCTGCAAAACATTCTAGAGCTGGTGCTGCGTTTGGAAGAGGACTCTCACAGACTCTATGAGGGTCCCAAGATGCCACAGCCTCGGGGGGCAGAGCAGAATGAATAAGCAAGAGGAACAGTCGCTCAAAGGAGAAAAGTTGTGGGTTTGGGTTTGTTTTTTTTTCTTGATGGAACTGACATGGACAACAGATCAGTTGTCCATGCAAAAGCTGTATGATGTGCCTTCTCCCTCCGTCTTCTCATAGCCCAGCCAGATGGGTGGCATGCTGTAGTTCAGGGAGAGCTGTGGCACACAGGCTCATTGTTACTCTTCGTACCCAGAGTGTAGGTGTGAGCAGTAGAAAAGCATGTTCGTGCTCATAGCTCAGCTACCTCAGGCTTATACATGTTCCCTCTGCTTTGGATAGGCAAACAGGTAACCCATCTCGAAGGGCTGTAAAGAAAATAACTTTCAGCCTTGGAATTTCAGTTCTCCTTTCAGCGCTGTAATAGCCTCTCTGTGAAAGAGGAATCGAAATCTTACAAAATACCACTCAAGGTTTATATTTGTCATTTACGGATTATAATACATAGCATCTATCATCCAAGATTTTTATCATGAATTTATCACGAGATAAACCTTAGTGTGTGCCATTGATGATCGCTGCTTATTAGAAGCAATGATCGGCTTGTTTAGCACTGAGATACCAGGAATGGTTACTGAAGCAGTAAAAAGGAAATTCGGTCACTTGTAATGGAAAGCTAGGCAGAAGATAATCAGGTGCTAAGATGCATTTCTTGTGTGTGATTGTCATGTGGTCCAATCACATGCCCACTCGTGCTGTTCCTCTGTTCTTCGGTAGCCTGGCTGCCTCCAAGTGCGTGACCTACTGTTCGTGGGACACAGTTTGTTTCAAAGCCAAAAATTAGCTTTCTGTTTGTCCTAGGTTAGAATTTAATACCTTGTTATGCATCAGCTTTGGGATTTTTGCTTGCTTTACTTCAACTGCTTTTGCAACTGCAGGTAGCTCTAAAAATACTTTGCTTGTTATATCCTTGTTGGATTTCTTAGTATTTGTCGAAGTCTTATTGAAATGGTTGCCATAAGTTATTAGTGAATATTGAGAAAAGTTTAGTAACATTTGCTGACATGCAGAATTTTTAGAGGTAAATTGGACCAGTTTATCTTTTCCAACTTGTGGTCTTGTAAACCTCTAATTTCTGATGATAATTTCTTGATGAATTTCAGCTCTTTAAAAAACCACACCCACCAAAGCGTGTTAGAAGCCGACTGAATGGAGAGACTGTGGGAACCTCTGTGCCCCCTGGTTCCACAAGTGACAAGATTTTTTTCCATCATTTGGACAACCTGCGGCCATCTCTTGCTCCAGTGAAAGGTAAAATGTAAAACCACGGTAATTATTCCTGGGTTTTTGCCAGAGCATTCACAGTTTCAGCAAAATTGTCCTTTTCCATGTTTGGCTTAATTCTAATGTTCCTAATGCCTGTGCTTTTGTGAGAAAGACAAATTTAAAATATCCTAATGCTGTAACATTGTGGTTTTAGCTACCTTAAAGTGTACTTGGGAAGCACCAAATCAGTGCCAGTTTAGTATGACTTTTTTAAAATAGAGGGATAAAATTGGACGCAATCACCTCTTTAAAGTCTTAATTTAACAAACAGTATTCAGGGTACATTGCTTCTGGGCCTGCAGTAGCCACAACTTTTGTGACAGAAGGATTCTTTATCTCAGTGCTGAGAGATGCTGAGAAATGTTGGCAAAAAAGGGTGGTGTTGGTAGATGCACTGAGATTAAAAAAGGTGGGTTTTAACTTTATATCTGACATTGGACAGAACAAAAATTAATTGTCTGTGAGGCAGGTAAATGCTATGCAGTGATTTCTTTCCTAGTTTACTAAGTTAATCTGCATGCTGTAAAGAGAGATGGCCGTACTATTACACAAGATGTAGCAGGGCTACACTCTTAAGATAGGAAATTAGAAAGTGGTAACTTGTATTTGCAAAGCTTGGGGAAAAACAGGTAAGACACCATGGGCTGTAGTCAGGAACATATCCTGTGGGAACACTTGGCCAAGATGTTTGAACGATACCAAAAACTTAATTTTACTTGTGCTGCAAATGATACAATTGCTTTTGATGACCACAGACATCTTGTCTGAAGAACAGCTTGTGTAGTACTGCAAGTGAGATCAGAGCTGTCTGTGATCCTCAGGGTGTTCTTGCCACTACTGATGGTGCTTAGCCCTGCATTTGTTAGGAATGTAGCAAAAGTTGCCATCGTTGCAGTTGAAACAAAGATTTGTGTAACATAGCCAATACAGAGATCCTGCTTTTGCAGAGCATCAACTATTTAATGGGATCAGATAGTATTTGTCTGTGCTAGCAATAACCCCGTCTTCCTTTTTTAGAGCTCAAGGAGCCTGTGGGACAGATCGTATGTACTGATAAAGGCATTCTGGCAGTAGAACAGAATAAGGTTCTCATCCCACCTACATGGAATAAAACTTTTGCGTGGGGCTATGCAGACCTCAGCTGTAGACTGGGTACCTACGAGTCGGACAAGGTTTGTAATCTGAAATTTGTTTCAGTACTCAATGTACCAAAAACAATTAGTACTCAATAGTGGAAAAGAAATATCTAAGAATGGTAATTTATTTTGCATGTGAATGAAATAGTCTTGTAGTACATATATTTTATTGCTCCCTATCTGGTGGTCTTCATCAGAACGCTGGCACAATGACATAAACCAATTAATAATAATTTTTTACCAGGTCTGCAAAACATGAATGAATGCAGTTAAAGCTCATCTCTCATGTTCTCTCGGGAGGCATCTTATGGCAGAGGCTGGAATTGCTTCTGCTTGAGGAAAAACTGCACAAGGGGTAGCAGCAATATCTTGGTTATTTAATGGTCTGGTGTGCAGGGCGGCACTCAGGTGTTTATTTTTATCCTACCAAACACTAACCCTGCAAGTAACTCTCTTTTGTTTTCTTTATTTTTAGGCAGTCATTGTTTACGAATGTTTGTCAGAATGGGGTCAGATACTGTGTGCCATTTGCCCCAACCCCAAACTAGTTATCACTGGAGGAACAAGCACAGCGGTCTGTGTGTGGGAAATGGGCATCTCCAAAGAGAAAGCTAAAGCCCTCACACTGAAACAGGTAAAATACGATAAAGATGCCTTTTATGTAAATCGTGTTACAAGATCAAAGGAATTATTAAAGGGCTATTGTTCACATAGTAAGCTTCGAAACCATGAGTCCAGCAGACCTTTGGAGAACTGAGTAGTTGACGTACTGATCTCCACTGGAAGTGTGCAAAATGTGTCTTTAAAATTGCATTGTTTTAAGGATAGTTGATCACCAGGAGCTTTTCGGAGAGATGGGGTATTTGGTAGCGATGTTAACAAAATTATACCGGTGTATTTTTTGTGAATTAATCTGCTTTATTGTACTGTTGTATATAAAATACCCCCATCTGAAAACTATGTCATGGAGGGCAGGAAAGATTCATTCTCCTTTTTTAATTTTTTTAATTACTTTTTTCTTTTTAAATGTATATATTTAAATTACACTTCTACATAAAACTTTGCTCTTTCTGGCAGTGATGTTTGTGGAGCAGAGTATACTTATTCAGGATCACCTTAAGTTGTTCTTGCTTTGTTAATTCAAAACATCAACTTATAATCTAACAAACGAGCACCCGTGCTTTAAAGTCAGTTGCAGCTAAGTGCAGAGTAAGTCTTGTGTTTACTTAAAAAAAACCAAAACCAACAAACCACCCACCCATAAACAAAACAAAAAACCCCCCACCCAACTACCTCAGAATATTCCAGAAGCTGTATATCATTGTTATAGCTAGCTAGGTTGTTAAGTGTTACTGTTCCTGTTAGCATCTTAATAGCAGGCCTTTTTCCAGAGGAAAGCTTCCACTTAAGGGAAGAAAGAGAATTATTTAATAACTTCCCTTGTGCGGTCTCCAACAACTGTCCAAAGCTGTGTTTCCAAAGTGTTTTACTTAAGAACAGTGCAAGATAAAACACTATCTTGAATTGCAGGGTAGCATATTCAAGGCCGTTTACTGTACTTTAGCCAATTGCTTGTAACTGAGTAAGATGCAGTAATCTGACTATATTCCAGACTCCTCTTCCAGTGGTGAGGTTAAGCCTAAAATGTAAAAGCAGGGTCTAATGCGAGTAGATGCTTGTGATTTTCTCCTCTTTCCAATTGACTTTGCCTTTTTGGCTGCAACTCTTTCTTGTCTCTTACCTTTTTTTAAACATCAACAGAAGTATATATGGGAGCCATTTTATATTTACAAAGAGTTTCTGTTTTCAGAATGTAATTTCAGGTGCAGCCTGGAACACGTATATAAATAGGCTATACACCCTATAAATAGGCTACTGATGCAGAATGGGTTGGAAATTTATTTTGGGGGGTTTTCTTAGTAGAAGTCTCTATAACATTAGACCCTTGCGATTTCGTATATTACTTCTATCGTTTTCAATTATGAAAATAGTTGCCAACGGAATACTTGTAAGTCAGTTGCATCTTCTGATAGAATATTCATGTTTACGTTAGCATTATCATTATCTTTTCAGATAAGTTGGTTTAATGCCGTAATTTTTGTGCTCTCTCCTGATTACAGCTTGTTCCTCCTGACTTTTGTTTTACAGGCGTTACTGGGTCATACGGATACTGTCACCTGCTTAACAGCATCGCTAGCTTATCACATAATTGTGAGTGGATCACGGGATCGCACCTGCATCATCTGGGATTTGAATAAACTCTCTTTTCTAACACAGCTTCGAGGTCACAGGGCTCCAGTTTCAGCACTCTGTATAAATGAATTAACGGTAAGAACCAAATACCATTCATCAATGTGCAGTGGGAACAGTAGCAAGACTCAGAAATTATTAAACCAAAGAAAAACAAACTAAGCTCTTCTGTTAGTTTGGCAAAACTTCCATAACTCATCTGAAAACTAATTAACTGGTTTAGGGAATAATTTGCATCTTTTGTTCAGAGATGCATAACAGTGCTGGCAGCAGTATAGCTAGTGTGACATTCAATGTGGGTTGTCAAACCTGCCACAGGAACTAGGAAAAGATTCTGATATGTGACCTTGGTTGACTTTTGTTCTCTTACGCTTAATTTAAAGGAAGCAGAAGATATCTTGGATGAAGCTGCAGTGACAATCGTAGCAGAAACAGACATATCCTAAAAGCTTGTCTCCTTGGTGGCCCTATAAGTTACGGGTTGACAGTTATCCAGCTGCTGTGCATGTCAAAGAATTTGCCTGAGTTGAAGCTTTATGTAGCTGGTCCATGAGGGCTGGATGGACCATGTTGCAACCAAAGTAGATGTAGTGGTTGGAACCAAGACAAAACAGGGCTGTAATGCAATGAGGGGGTAGCAAGAGTAGCTGCTAGTAGACTGGTTGTTGCATTGCCAGTGTTTTAAAGCGTAGCTCCCATTTCCCCGTCTGCCCTAGTTTGCGACTATCTCTTGTTTTTTTCCCAATAAGGAAGCAAATGAAATTTGAGGTTGTACGTGTTTGTGAAAAAGAGTCTTTGAAAACCGAGAAGGGAAAATACTGAAAATACACTGTTGGATTGTTAAGCTGTGGAAACTGGAGGAATTGTTCTATTCATCATATGCTGTAAATGCAACAAATAGGTTACTACTAAGTCTGGTTTTCTATGTACAATTTTAAAAAATGCGTATCATCCTAAAGTTTGTTTAGGTGGCCAGACTCAGCTTGCATAGAACTTCCTGAAAAGTGCCAGCCATGATGGCTGGACTTGGCTTATAAATGAACCTGGCTTATACTTTTGCTGAAGAAAACTGAGACTTGTATTGAAGTATGGAGGTGTTATTTGTCTTTGCAGGGGGATATTGTATCATGTGCTGGCACTTATATCCATGTATGGAGCATTAATGGCAGCCCTACAGCAAGTGTAAACACTTTCACTGGCCGAAGCCAGCAAATAATGTGTTGCTTTGTGTCAGAGATGAATGAGTGGGATACCCAGAATGTCATAGTAACGGGACATTCGGATGGAGTTGTCCGGGTAAGTACCGGGAATTACTGTTTGGAAAAATAAGTTTACGCCTTAGTATTTATTAGTAGTAGTTAGAGAAGTCACGTCTATCCAACACAGTGTCCTGGACAGTACCAAAAGTAGTTCTGCTGTAGTTGCATGCTCCACCTGAACAACGAGTCCTGCAGGAAGGAGGGAGTCCAGGCTGGGTGGATGATGCAGACTGCTTTTGGTGCTGGAACCAGCTGTGCCATTTCTGCACAGGGCAGTGCACTGTATCCTGTCCACAAGTTAGATGGACATTGAAGATTCATGGAAAACTCTTTCAGTGAGCTGACAGTCCTATGCAGTCTTTCAGTTTTCTTTCTCCTTGTCAATGCACCCGCTGTGATGTGATAACTAGCAATAGTCAGCAGCATACATTTTCCTTCCTGCTCTATTTTGGTCACTTTTTGGTCACCAGCTTTCATGCCTGGAGATTGTAGTTTTCGTTCACCATTTTTGTTCTACTCACCTTGAGAAAATTCATTTTGCTGCCTAGAAAGAAAAGAGGAACTTAGTGGCATCTCTGATCACTGTGAGTCTAACCCAATTTTCAGTACTTTGCTGTGTGCAGTCCTGGGTCTGCCTTAACCGGACTCTGCTGGTCAGATTGCCATGTGGAGTGGATTTTTTTATTTGAACAGCTAAGGTGTTAAATTAACAGCACAAGACTTGTTCACTTGTGATTCAGGCATGAACACATATCCACTTACAGCATCTAGAGCCCGAAAACAGGGTTTAGTATGGAGATGTGACCTGCCTCTCATGCTACCAGTGCAAATGCAGAGTTCTAATGAGCCATCTTAATTCTAGAAGTAGCTCAGAAAGAAAGATAAGAGTTCAGTTCATGCCACTCTGCTTATCCCCTGTCCCTCCAGTTCTGGCGGATGGAGTTTTTGCAAGTACCAGAAACACCAGCTCCAGAGCCTGTGGAGATGCTGGAAATGCAAGAGGACTGTCAGGAAGCACAAATAGGTATGTCTCCTGACAAGTGTTTTATATTTGCCTGCTATCTGATCTTCACTGTACATAGGTAAAATCATGTGATTATACAGTGCAGAATGGACGAAGGGGATTTTGTCTCAAGATACAATAGACATCCAGTGGGCATAATAAATAGAGCATCTGAGTTCTTTGTTCGCCACCTTGCTTATGGTAGTTTTATACTGCTACGAGTAAGAAAAAAATCATAGCTGACCGTGCTTTGTTGTGTAAGTTTTGCTGAGAGGCAGCAGGATTTGGTTTGGCTAACTTGAGCATTTTTGAAAATTTTACTCATTGTCTCTATCAAACCTACCTCAGACTATCGTAGGAAATAGCTTCAGCTAAGGATTGCTGTTTTCTGACAGACCAGTGCAAAAACACGAATAGTGCGATTTCTGGCAAGAGCTGAATATCTGCAAAGGCTTTGAGATGCCTGCATGCAGTTTCCCCTAGTCATGCTGTGGTGGTACCTGTTGGGTTGTAGGTAGTGCAGCAGCAGAATAGGGGGCGGGGTGGGGGGAAGCTCAGGCTATAAGCAGCCTTGCTAACAACGTTTTCTCTCCTGTTGGGTGAATCCAGGGCAGGAAGCCCACGAAGAGGACAGCAGTGACTCCGAGGCAGACGATGCATGTATAGGCCAGGACACGAAACTGCAGGAGAGCCAGAGTCAACCAAGCAGCACCAGCCACAGGCCTAGGTCATCGTCAAACAGAGCAGCAGCAGCATGGTCAGCAGACAGCGGCTCTGATGACTCCAGGCGTTGGTCAGACCAGCTCAGCTTGGATGAGAAAGATGGCTTTATCTTTGTGAATTATTCTGAGGGACAAGCAAAAATGCACCCCCATGCTCAGGTTAACCACCCGCACCCCAGCTACGCTGAAGCACGGCACTACAGCAAGCTTAAACCAGGTAAAAGAAACTGGACGTGCTTCCTCTGTCAGATAAATGTGCTGTCATCACTGACCTGTAAGGCAGTTTCTCTGTCTGTGCAGCTTTGAGCAGGGGTGGCTGATAAATTCCCAAATGGTCAGTGAAGAAAAAAATTTGTGTGCAAAGGTTGCATGCTGTTCAAGCTTTTCCTGAGAAGCTGTGGTCAGTTTACCTGGCTAAGCCGCTCACTCGCCACCACCAACACCACAACCCCCTGCAGCAGGATGGTGGAGACAATAGAAAGAATAGAAAGAAGGGAATTCACAAGTCAAGATAAGGATAGTCTAATAAGGAAAGGAAAGAGGAAGACAAAACAAGCGATTCAAAGGCAATCACTCGCCACCTCCCACAAGCAGAATGATAACCAGCCAGTCTCTGAGCAAATGGCTGCCTTCCCCCCAAAACTCCTCCTCTTAGTTTTATTGCGGAACATGATGTTATACAGTGTGGAATTCCCCTTTGGCCAGTTTGAATCAGCTGTCCAGCTTGTGTCCCCTCCCAACTTACTTTGCACCTCCAGACTCCTGGTGGGGGGTGGCGGGCAGAGCAGAGTGGGGAAAAAGAGAAAACCTTGATATTCTGCAAGTACTGCTGAACAACAGCCAAAACACTGGTGCGTCATCAAAACAGTTTTAGTCACATACCCAAAACACAGCATTGTTCGAGCTGTTACGTAGAAAAGTAATGACAGTTGGAAATCTGAGTCTTGACTTTAAAAAGAAAACAAATAACTTCATTTTTATATTTTTTTTTATTTTATCCCAATCCTGTCAGGCTTTGGTACAGGGCTTCCCTGTGTATGTCACCATTCTCTGCAGCTCCCAACTGGTCTTAAAAAATTGGAGGCTCTGCATTGTTTTGTATCCTCTCCTTTCTCACATGCATTGGGGAGCAGTTGAAAAACGTGCTTTCCCTGAGTGAAACTTGAGTCAGAGAGAGTTATCACGGGGGCGGGGGTGGGATTTTTTCTTTCTACAAAGTCACACATTATAGGTATATTGGGGGAGGAGGGAACAAAAATGAGAACAAGCAAATTTGCTTTTCCCCCCTCCTACTTCCCCCTCATTTCTAGGATACAGATGGGAGCGTCAGTTGGTGTTTAGAAGCAAACTAACTATGCACACAGCATTTGATCGCAAAGACAACGCACATCCAGCAGAAATCACTGCACTCGGCATCTCTAAGTGAGTAACTTGCAAGCGA